GAAGTATCGCATGCTGTGGGCTCAGCCCCACTGTACAGTGAGGAAGAGCTAACAGAGGGCGGTCAGGAACGGGGGGAGACATCCGCCTCTTCAGCAGCCAGGCGAAGAAGTACTGGCGAGGAGAGTGGCTCGGTAGCCGATCTAGAGACAGGTCTGTCTCCTGACCCACACGCAGCCGAGGGGGCTAGTAGTGAGGCGGAGACCCTAATTGATGATGATGAGGCTGATCGCACTTGGCAGCCTCGTCGTCATCTGCCATGGGCCCCCGTACCGACTCCTCATGCTGCTGCCAGGCCCGTAATCTGTCATGGGCCCCTGTACCGCCTCCTCATGCTGCTGCCAGGTCCAGAGTGTGTCATGGGTCCCTGTACGGCCTCCCATTGCTGCTGTCTCCATCGCCACACTCTGCCATGTGCCACTTTCAGGTCTCCTCACACTGCTGGTGGGTTCCATTTTGTCATAGGGTGCTGTATGGCCTCCCATTGCTGCTGCCTCCACCGCCACACTGTGGCTCCACACTCTGGTTTTGGCCCCGTGACTGCCCAAATGAGTGAAGTGTGCGGTGATTCTAAGATCGACGGCACTCATCTGCATGTCATACTGACTGACAGTATTATTTCTCTTCCCCAGCAGACTCCAAGGGCATTTAAATTAAAGGTACAGTGTTCTGCACTAATATAAAGGCTCTCTGAAGCCTAGAAACACCCTTTTTATAAGTTAAATTCGCAGCGAATATATTCGACTCGATCAAATTTATTCCGCGAATTCGCCGAATCAGCCGAATCGAATTTTGAATACTTCGCTCATCTCTAGTGAAGATCCAAGAAAAATGGCCGACAGGCTGGCCCCACTAACAGCGTGAATATCGGCCGATTTTTCGTGCGGACGAAAATTCAGCCGATAAACGACCCGTCTATGGCCTGCATAGGTTCTGGTGTGCTACCAGAGCTGATGAGATAAAGCAAAGTAAAGCAGATCAGCCAGACTGACTGCTGTAGTGTGGGGCTGGCAGGCTGAAGAGAGAGCACTGACAGATGTTAATGCAAACACTGGATCTGTTCTATTATCTGAGCAATAATCCGATCATTAGTATACAGCTTTCGTCCAAAATGTTTCAAGGGCACAAGCGTGAAAATTTCTCGTACAATACAAGATCATATGATTTTCATTTAATCAGTACAGATTTCACCCAAAAATACATTACTTTCAAAATTTTTATTCTGTTGTACAAGAAGTTCCGTAACTTTAGTAACCTTTTCACTTTCAATACGAGACTAGAATGCAAAAGAAGAAAAAAAAACAAACAAAAAAAAAAAAACAGTGCGATAATTTGTCCAATCTCATTGTGTGTACAGGGCTTTAGTGTGGGATAGGATAGTAGCCCTGTGCATACACTTGCAGGCTCAGCAGAGATCTTTGAGGACAGCAGAAACTCAAGCAGATGCACAGCTATATTAGTGTAGCAGCATGAAAACTCATTTTTTGTTAGGCAACTGTATAAAGTTTATTTTTTCTTATATATTTTACAATGGCAAGCACTTTTTTTTTTTTGATCACACAAAAGCACCCAATCAGCACTGTACAGTCACAAGACTACCTAATCAACTTACCAAAGGGATTTCGCTAGGCTACCTAAGAGGTTTCCCAGCTTGCTCCAACCCCTGATTTCACAGAGCAGCAGAAAGTATGTGACTGGGGTACACAGAAAAAAAAAAATTGTATTTAGCACCAGTATTTTCACTTGTGCAATGTACTGTTGCTTCCAATGTACTAACAGGATACGATTTAGAGGAAATGCTAGAAATTGGTTTAATGACACTTTAATCAAAAGGGAGATTTTTCATTCATTGCCTGGATATGGTTCAGGCTGCAGGCCTTAGCCACTGCTTCCTTCCAAAAGACTGATTTCCTTTTAGTCATACCAAATGGTCCCAGCAAGGGTACACCAGAGTCATTCCACAATTCCAAGAATCAAGTTCAACCCTTTCCTGGCAAGGCAGAATCTAATAGATCTGTGAATGCCTCTTGGGCTTTTGGCATCAGGCTACTGTCTCTCTCTAGAGCATGTCGTAGTATTCTTTTTTCCTTCAGGAAAACTAATTTTATTACTGCATGACACAACATTTGTAAACTTCTTGTGGGGTTAGCTGCAAGGAAGTTTCCTATTCGAATAGGCATACTCCCAACATCTCCCCAGAGCCATTTCTCTACACACAATGCATTGGCTGACTCAAGTGTGAAGGCAGCAGCACAGTTTTGTTGAAAAAACCAATGTATGCATGATAACAAAAGGGGATAGGGAGAGTTCTGCAATTCAACAGGCAAGTACTGACAACACTGCTTGGGTTTCAATTCAGCAAAAGTAGTAAGCTCAAGCAAGGGGTTGGGAATCCAAGCACTACATCTCTGGCAGATCAAGAGGTATTTTTCAGTGTGTCATACCGAATAAGCCTTTTTAGTCCTCGTGCACTTTCACTCTTTTCCTGGCCAGGCCAATTTTCAGTGCTGTCACATTTTGAACAATTGCGTGGTCATGCAACAGTACACAGATGAATGTTATTTTTTCCACACAAATAAATCTCTTTGTGGTATTTAATCACCACTGTTTTTAATCCCTTGCTTAAAACCCCCCCACGGTTTACTTAATTTCTGTTATAAAATTTTGCAAATCTTTCCTTAATAAATTTATACAGCTACATTTCTGTAGTAAATCCGTGTATTATATATATGCATACATAAACTGGTGTGGTGGTGATCAGGAACACTGACTGGTGACAGTATGTAAAACATTCTGTATTACAATTTTTCTTCCCATTTTTTGTACACACTCTAACCAGAGCAATACAGTATAGCCACAGTACACTGTACTACTCTGTGGAGGTGATCAGGATTTGTTTTTAGACACACCAATTGCTTATAACAGTGATAATCACTATTGTAAGCAACCATTTTTTTTATAACTGAAATCTATTCAGTGTGTACTATTGTGATTAGTTGTGATTGGCCACAGCTAATCACATGGTACAGATGGGCTGTGATTAGCCGTTTGTACTATGTGATCACTGTGAGCAATCACAGAGAACACCACAATAGTACACAATGAATGCTATAAATTTAAGCCATTCATTGTGTACGACTGCCATGTGATCTGCTGTGATTGTACACCGTGATCACATGGTACTGGCAGCAGCCCAGTAGACAGATCACACCACAGCGCAACCCGTGGGGCGTGATCCTGGAAGGATATCGTATGACGTCCACCCATGATAACCGTGCTCTAGCCCAGCCATCATTTGTCTATAGGCTGGGCGGGAGGTGGTTAAAACTAAATTCCACCCTGGACTGCTTTCAGTTAATTGAAAATCTTAAGCTAAAAAGTATAAAAAGAATATATTCTCAAAAAGTCCAGCTCATATAAAATAGAACTATAATAAAAACGGTCCATAAATCATACCTACAATAAAATACCTTTAAGTCACTTTCATACATAATATTTTTATTTTTTTGTGTTTTATGCAAAAATGCATATCCAATTTGTCTAATAGTTTGCATACAAACTGTGAAACATTAACACACAAAATAGCATCAGGCTCCTAATGGTTCCAGGCAAAAATTCATAAAAAGGAAATATGTATAACTAAAAAGTAATTTATACATGGTATCTACAGGAGTAAAAGTAGATCATGATACATTTTGTTAATGTATCATTTAGAGTAATTCTGAACATTACCTATAACTAGTAAAAGATAAAAAAAAACAAAACAAAAAAAAATAGGTATAAGGATTAGGCATAAGGATTATCTAGCAAAGTATAAACCAATTTGCAAAATGAAAGTGGCATCACCATTGTAGCACAAAGGAGTCCTCCGCACCTCCTAGAATTTAGGCCTGTAATTTCACCTACCATACCACAAGCTGGTAAATCTGGCAATGCAAATCTATCAGGCTGAAATAATGGCATTTTGTGAATTTGTCCATAGAGAAATGGACCACAGTTTTTAGTTGTTTAAAAGGCTTACAATAAAAAGGTTGGGCCTATCTCTACTACATGGAAAGGTCAAGAAGCAAATTTCTGGTTTTCATTAAAATACAAAACTCCTTTCATGTGTGCTCCTAGATAAATACAAAATGATTAATGCAAGACAGCAGGGAACCAATGCACATGCCGGTGTTTGTATTTCATTGTTTATTGAGGAGTGAAGGAGATATTGCCAGACATGCCAAAATGACATTTCACATTCAAGGGCCTGAAGCTACATATTTCCTGTATCAATTAACAATTCATTTGGGCACAATGGGTGACCAAAATTGAAAAAACAAAACAAAAAAAAAAAAAAAAAACCCCAAAAAAACTATATATAAGCCAATATAAATCTGTGCAAAAATCATTTTGAATACCACATTGACTAATTTCCCAGGATACAGGAATTTGTTTCCATTCGACTCGAGTAGAGTTAATACTATATGGAGACAAATCTGCCTTGACGATTATAACATCGTGCTAAGTAACGAATTATGAACTCACCATACCATTCTAATGAATGATGTGGGGAGCACCATTTTATAGAAGCTTTGCAGGCCCTGTGGGCACTCAGGAATTAAGTCCATTTGCCTTAAAACCAATCCATAGCTCCCCCAACTCCTGAACTGTTGATAACTGACAATGGAAAGTAGTTCTCCTTAACCACTTAAATTGGAATACAGGAGACAGAAAAAAAAGGAAATAATCCTTTAAAGAGTTAATCTGTAGGCCAGCAGGAAAGTGTCTTGCTTCAAAGAAAAGCTTTTTCTCACAGTTCAGTTTGGAGAGAAGGTTTTATAATCCTCCCAGTCTGTTAACCTGCAGAATGATGGCCTACAAGCACTACTGCTCCTGTTTGCTCAAAAAAAAAAAAACAAACAAAACAAAAAAAAAAAAAAAAAAAAAAACGAAGAAACCTAAACAGAAGAGGTAAGTTTGATGTTAGTTTTCCTGATATATATGCAAATGGTAGAGGCCTTCACGCAGTGCTGAGCAAATCTTGTAAAGCCTTCTGCTGAGCAGCAGTAAGCTGTGAAACACATTCTGTAAACAGTCCTCCAGAGGCCTAAAAAAAAAAAAAAAAGAAAGAAAAAAATTAAGCCAACTGAACACACTAAGTCGTTATCCATTCATTTTTAGCTTCAGATGGGATGCATTGCTAGTATGTACAATATCCTTCCTAATACCTCTCAGACTTCATAAAAAATTTCATACTATGATAAAGCAGCAAGTGCCAATACACACTACAGTACCATGTGAAGAGTTATATAGAGATCATAGTTTAGACAAGCTGGTGTATGAGGTCTGCAACTTTGTCCAACATTTGGCTCTGCCCATAATGATGGAATTTGTGCAATTTAGAAAAAGCATTGCATTATAAATATAATTTTTTCAGTAAATAGACTTCTAAAAGATGCTATTGACATTAAATTTTCACTACATTGGTAACAACCAATGCAATCCACACATACAAAGAAACTAAAACAAATAAGTTAAGAAATTAAAGTTGTGTAATAAAATGGAACACAGGGAAAAGTACTGAACACATGAAGAAAGGGAGGGGCAAAAAAGGCATGGAAAGCCAAGACACCACCTGAAATCTATCAGTAATTAGAAAGCAATTCTGCCCCTTGTCAGTGCAAATTAATATAAGCTGGTTCAGTCTCAACTGATAGCTCATGAGCGGTAAAAGCAAAGAGCTCTCTCAAGGAGCCTGAGCATGGCGCAGAGAGGGAGCTCAATGTGAGTTCCTAAATACCAGGCGCTCCCACTGTCCCGCTAGTAAGCAATGTCTAGGAGGCTGGGACCTAGCGGAGCCTGAGCGTCATCCCTTTGGGGGAGTTTGGGTCCTTTGTGTCCCTTTGGACATGGGCTGGTGGCGGAAAGTGACGGAGACTAGGTGGAGGAGGAGAGAGAGGTGCCGGTCAACTCGAGAGGAGGCGGACTCCATTGGAGCTCAGAGGACGCCAGCCAGTCACGTGGTCTGCTGCAGAGGAGCTCTGGGAGGCAGACACGCCGGCCGGCTTGCACAAGAGAGGAGACCCCGGGGGGCGCCAGAAGGAGAAGGCATGGAAGGAGAAAATTAAGAGATAAAAGACCATGGGAGAGAAGTTCAGGATAAGGGGGGAGAGAGAAACAAACATTTAAAGGACAATACCCGTGGAGGGATATTATCCCAATTTATGTGCAAAAATAACCCCTGCTTCTGAAAAAATAGAAATATCTACTAACAGTATGAAAAATAAAGTGACAAAAAGGGAGAGGGCCAAAGGCACCCCAAACAAGTTACATTTAAAAATATATAGCCTCACAAGAGAAACAGACCCCAGAGAGACAACAGGGAGTAAGTGGAAAACGAGAGATGGAAAACCGTATTGCCGATTGCATCAGATTGTCCTTGGGGGTGTCTAATATTAGTCAAAATATAGAAGCTGAAGACATAGAAAACGCAGTGGATATCGAGAACTCTGAAGAACAAGAGAAAATCTCACAAATGCCTAGGAAAGCAGAAATAGCAGAAATGTTTAAGGGTCTGAAAACATCCAGAAAACAGGAAATGGCGAAAATACATAAAGATCTGGGGCCTGGGGCAGGTACTGTCAAGGGTGGAAGAGTCGGAAGAAAAAGTAGATAAACAAGTTATAGCAAACCTGAAAAACAGATGAAAGGAATGAGAAAAGAACAAAGAAATCTGCTATACAAACTGGAAGATCAGGAGAATAAAGATAGAAGGTACAATCTAAGGATACGAGGCATGCCCAAGATCTCACAAGGAGAAGATCTGACGGAAATAACAGTGAAAACGCTTGATACAATAATGGACAGATCAGCAACAGAGCCTCTCAAGATCAATAGAGTGCATAGAATTGGAAAATTCCAACAAGAAGGTAGAACGAACATCGTGATTGTACGATTCCATTATTATAGAGACAAAGCGGAGTTCTGAAAGAGAATAAAAGGAAAAGTCGCGATAAAATACGGAGAAGTAAATCTACAGATCATTGCAGATTTATCAGTGGAAACACTGACAAGGAGAATATTGAAACCTTTGTTGGAACAGATGAGAAAGCAGAATGTTCGATACAGCTGGGGATTCCCAGCATGTTTAATCAGGTGGAAAAATGGTCGTTCTGCAAGCCTGAGATTTCTGGAAGACTTGAGAGCCTTTTGTGAGAGACCTGAACTACAGAAAATAGTTAACCTAGGTTGGGAAGTGGGGGTAAAAGATGTGGGGAATAGAAAAAGGTGGGTTTGGCAGGCAGTCCCTAGTGGGAAAAGACATTAGAAATAAAATGGGAGGGGAGGAGGGGATTTAGATTTATTTTCCCTCCCACTTGCCCCCCTACCTCCTCCCCTTGGGGGGAGGGGGAGGAATTATTTTTCTCTGCTCTCCCCCAGCTCCCTTAGAAAGGCAGGACAGATATCTAGAAATGCGACCAAGGTATTGGGTACGCGGATTGGAGGAGTTTGTGGTCAGAGCCCCACCCTATGGCCAAATCAATGGTGTGACTAGGACCACAAACGATTTGTAGGCAAATTAAAAGCCTAGCGGGGGGGGGGCGGGGGGGGGGGGGGGGGTATGGGTAGGGGTTAGCTCCTCGTGAAGGATTATGACACTCTAGTCAGAACTCTAGTGGAAGAGTTGAAATATGTATGGGAAATGGAGGAGGTTCATTTTGCGACCTATAATGTCAAGGGGTTGAACAGTCCAGGGGAAAAAGCACAAGAGAATTACAACAACAATCTATTGCATTGGCGGTTTTGAAGGAAACTCATTTGCTGCAGGAAACAAATGTGAAGTTATATTCCAGGCACTATTCAACCTGGTTTTATGCAGACTCACCGATTGAACATGCTAAAGGAGTGGCCATTGGTATAGCTAAAATTTAAGGTTTAAGTTGGAAGAGAAGGTGGAGGACCCTGAGCGGTGCTTCCTGTTCTTAAGGGGGAAATTGCAGAAAATAGAATGTACATTAGCAAATATTTATTGCCCCAATAGAAATCCTGAGGTCTATTTGAAAAATACTCTGAGAAAACTCCTGGATTTTAAAAAAGGCAAACTAATTGTGGCAGGAGACTCATTTTAGCATGGACCCTCAGATTGATACGACGTCACTTGTGCAGAGAGAGGTGAGTAAATCTCTGAAATCCATACGAAGAATGTTGTATCAATGTCAACTTGTAGATGTTTGGAGAATGAAATATCCTAAAGACAGGGATTATAAATTCTACTCTTCGGCACATGAAACGTACTCACCGAGGTTAGATTACATAATGTTGGACCGTAGACTTTTGGAGTCCCTGGTTAAAGTAAATATAGAAGTCATAACAATATTGGACCATGCACCTGTCACAATAAAGATATTATGGGGAAGAGAGACAAAATAAGTAAAACACGTGGAAACTAAATGAGACACTCCTTCAGGATCAATACAAAATCAAAAACCAATGTCCAAATAAACTAAATAAAATATACAAAATCAATAACCCTAAAGATTGACACTCAAAAAGTCACACTTTCACCCTTGAAAGTCCAAAATGAATAATAAAACCCTCTTCGTGGCAGTGAATCTTCTCAATTCTTTTTTTCTTCAATATAGTTATCCAAAATGTATGGTCGAATTTCACTGTGTACCTCCAAAAAATATATATAGGAAACTGGATAGTGTATTATCCTCAATATTCAAAATTATTATATATATATATATATATATATATATATATATATATATTTATACACACACAAATACAAATGATTTGCCAATATGTGAAAAAAAACTGTGAAACACGTGACAAAGTGAAAACATCTCGTGAGCACTTCTACGAGGAGTAAATACTCCTATCCTAAATAAAATTATCAAAAGCATTTAGGGTAATTTTCCCAATATGCAATCTCCAAGAATTCCTCCAGGATCATTCCATAATCGCTATGCAAGATACCAGGAAACACTTCTCAAGGCCGTCCATAGATTACCACTCAGAAGGAAAGAAAGGACTATATAGTGTCGTATTCAGATTAAATAAGTCGAGGCTTTAATAAAATATGCTTACATCAGTATAGAAATAAAATCGCATGTATTCCCATATGACAGCTTCCGAGAAAGCATGTATTGATATAACCTTAGTAAAGATGGCCACTCCGCTACTTCAGGTCAATCTGTAACGTCCGACGTCATGTCCCTTGACGTGTTTCATCACTTCCTGACTTCCTCATAAGACTCCTATATCACTATCTTGGATAGGACGAATAAATTTGATAAAAATAATTGTACCAAAAATCATGTATAAATTATATAAATATTACAGAGTGTGGCACATAAGCAATATGGAGATAAATCACCTATGTGTTGGCCAGGAAGTGAGGTTAAGGGCACAATGGCACATATTTGGTGAGAGTGTTCTAAAATTAAGAAATAATGAGGAGGTGGGGGGGAATAATTCACCAAATTCAGGAGATAACTGGGGTTAGAATTCCAAAAGACCCAGGGGTATTCCTATCCTATAGAACTGAGCTTGTAGTGGAAAAATCTACAAATTCGGTTCTATTTTATAAACGCAGCAAAAGGACTGATACCCAAATTTTGGAAGGAACAAGAGGTACCAAAAATAAAAGACTGGATAGGAAGGGTGGATTACAAGTAAAAAAAAAAAAAAAAAAAAAAAAAAAATGGAGAAACTTTACCATATGGAAGAAGATAAAATGATGAGGAGATTCCAAGAAAGGTGGGAAAAGTGGGATGAGTTTAAGAGATCAAATATATATGCTGAAATGAAAGAAATAGAGAAAAAGGAGACGAGAGGACCTGTAGAGTTAAAAGTAGAAAGTTAGATAGGAAGAGGACGAAGGGAATCCTGAGAACACCAAGGAAGGTTGAGGAACGGGGAGCTGAGGAAAAAGAAAGGGGGGTGGGCATAAGGGCGAGAGACGTAGGTTTTTTGGGGGAAGGTTTAAATAGGGGAATGTAATTTTTATTTTTACATTGAAATGTAATATGACAATTTATTTTTGCTGTATGAAATATGTTTCAATTTAAAACTTAATAAAAAGAGCTCTCTCAAGATCTTCACAATTTTATTGTTGCAAAACATTCTGATGGCATTGGTTACCAAAGGATTTCTAATTTGGTGTTAGCAGAAAGGACATTTCACCATAAACCAGCCACGACCAGGTGCTCCTCGCAAGATTTCTGACAGAGGAGCAAAAATAATCAGAAGAGTTGTCCCAAGGGCCAAGGATCACTTGCGGAAGACCTGGAATTAGCAGGTACAATTGTTTCAAAGAAAAATTGTTTCAAGAAAATAAGTAATGAACTCAACTGCCATGGCCTGTATGCACGTTCACCATGCAAGACTCCATTGCTGAAAATCACTGAAAAAGCATGTTGAAGCTCCTTTAAAAGTTGGCTGCACAGCATTTAGACAAGCCTGTGAAATACTGGGAGAATATAGTCTGGTCAGACGAGAAAAAAATTTAACTCTTGATGCCATAATACACACCAGGTTTGAGGTCAAATGCCATGGCACTGCGCATCACCCCAGAAACACCATACAAACAGTGAAGTTTGGAGGTGAGAATATCATGGTGTGGGGCTGTTTTTCAGCATATGGTACAGGCAAACTTCATATCATTTAAGGATGGATGAACGGAAGAATGTACCAAGACATTCTTGATAAAAATCTGCTGCCATATACCAGGATGATGACGATGAAACGAGGGTGGACATTTCAGCAAGACAATGATCCCAAACACAAAGCTAAGGAACCTCTCAATTGGTTTCAAAGAAAATAAAGCTGCTAGAATGAACCAGCCAATCACCTGACTTGAATCCGAGAGAAAGAGCTAAAGGTGAGAGTTCATAGAAGAGGCCCACGGAACCTTTAAGATTTGAAGACTGAAAGAATGGGACAAAAATTACACCTGAGCAATGAATATGACTGGTTTGTCCATACAGGAAGTATCTTGAAGCTGTCATTACCAGCAAGCAAAAGAATTGTGTATGAAGTATTAAATAAATTGTAGTTAGCGTGTTCAATACTTTTTCCGTGTCATTCCATTTTATTACACAACTTCTGAACTTATTTGTTTTGTTTTTTTTGTATGGATTGCAAGGGTTAATTGGTGAAAATTTCATGTCAATGGCACCTTTAGAAAATATATTTACTGAGAAAAATGGTAACGTGTTCAATACTTATTTTACCAGCTGTAAATCAAAGCCCAGATTGTTTTTCTTGACAAGCAGAATTGCTTATTACAAATATTGCAGGTTAATAACTTTCAGGACAAAAAACATAATACATTTGTCTTAACCTAAGCTAATAAAGTAGATCATAAAAATAAAAAAAAAAACAAAACCAAAACATACAGTTTATTTTCCACAGAAGAAATTGTTACATACCAATCTTCAAAGGAACAAGGCTCACCTGAACTTGTCGAACTACATTAGCAAGTCTTTTGCCACATACTTCTTCATTTTTAATAGATTCATGAACACCACCATCAGCAATAATACTAAATATTTTGGGTAAATTTGAATTGTTGGGTCCTAACACAATAGGGTTGTTACTGTGGATATGAAACAGAAAAAACACATACACATTTAAATGCAACTTGGCACTTTTAAACATTAAAGCTAGCTGTGTTACATAGCTAACAAGATTTGATGAAAAAAAAATGCATTTCATATATTATACAGTATTTATATAGCGCCAATAGTTCGCTCAGTGCTGTACATGTACAATGGGGGACAATACATGAGACCGTACAATAACAGTGCGATACACGAGGGGTTCGAGGGCCCTGCTCCTTGGAGCTTACAATCTAGGAATATTAAGGGCTTCTTCACGCCAATTTATGCGTGTTACTGTATATGTAGCACACATGCATTTGTGTGCATTAAAATACATTGCAGAGATTCCTTTATTTAACTTGTAATGTCACTTCTATGAGTGGCAGTGGGTGTTGTGTTAACAGGTTCCCGCCCGGCCTATAGCCAGATGAGAGCCTGCAAAACCCCTCATCCCTCTGGGTGGACGCCATATGACGTCCTTTCAGGCATGCACAGTCTGCATGCCTGCAGAGCCGCGCAGCGGTGCGATCTGTCACGGCCGATGACAGATCTGAGTACCGGCCCCGTTGCCAGTACCATGTGACCTGCTGTGACCAATCACAGCAGGTCACACGACAGTTGTATACAATGGATGGCTTCCTTTCATGCCATCCATTGTATACTAGTGTGTCTAGCTGTGAATGGTCACAGCGATCACATGCACAAGCTGGGCCAATCACAGCCCAGCTGTGTCGTGTGATTAGCCGTGGCCAAATCACAGCTAAGCACATAAAAAAACCCTGAATCAATGTCATTAAGGAAAATGCTTGCTAATAGCAAAAGTAATTCTTTGCTATAAGCTAATTGTGTAAAAAAAAAAATACTGATCACTTACCAAAAGTAGTGCAATGTTACTATGGTAACATTGTACTACTTTAGTCATAGTGGAATGTGAAAAAGAAATCTTAAAAAAAAAAAGTAATAAAAAATTAAAACTAATAAAAATTATTTTTTTTCCATACTGTCACCAGTCAGTCAGAGTCCCTGATCACCACCATGCCAGTTATATGATGACGCTGTACTGCACTGATGACAGTATGTAAAAAAATTGTGAAAATAATTTTTTTATTTTTTTTTCATTTTCCAAAAAAATTACGACTTCAAAAAATTCGCCATGCCTCTTATGAAATACATTGGACTGTCTACTTTGCAAAAAGGGGTCATTTGGGGGATATCTGTACTGTTCTGACATTCTTGGACCTCAAGAAATTAGATTGGCCATCAGCACTTCAGGATTGATCAATATTCAGTTATATACCAGTTTGTGAACTCAATAACTTTCCTACAAATTAAAGAATACATTCTAATTTGGGTTATTTTTACCAAAGACATGTAGCAGAATACATTTTGGCCTAAATTTATGAAGAACAATTAATTTCAAACCTTTATAACAGAAACAAAAGAAAAACGTGGGTTTTTTTTTCAAAATTTTCGGACTTTTTTTGTTAATGTAGCAAAAAATAAAAACCCCAGTGTTGATTAAATACCACCAAAAGAAAACTCTAGTTGTGTGAAGAAAATGATAAAATTTTAGTTTGGGTACAGTGTTGTATGACCGCGCAATTGTCATTCAAAGTGTGAGCGCTGAAACCTGAAAAATGGCCTGCGCAGGAAGGGGGTAAAAGTGCCCGGTATGGAAGCAGTTAAAGCTCATCTGAACATGCTGTGCAAAAATGTAACATGTATAAGGCAAACTGCCTTGTTCTGTCACACCATAATCAAACAGTGCTGGTGTGAATGAGCCCTAGTTGATAATGTGCTTTATTCTCATGCTTTAGAACTGTGAGAGATTGAACTTGGAGATTCAAAGCTTTAACACAATTAACCTCATTACTATTCACTATAGATTACTTATTCTAATGCACACATTAGTACACCAATTTCTCACATTCCTACAAAGCAAGCATGCAAATGGTCATCGCTACACATTTATTTGGCAAGTAGACAAAGAAAAACTTACACCGATCAGTTACAACTTTATGACCACTGGCAGGTAAAGTGAACACCACTGATTATCTTGTTACAGTGGCATCTGAAAGTCAGTGGGATATATCAGGCAGCAAGTAAACATGTCCCTAAAGTTGATGTGATGAAAGCAGAAAAAAATGAGCATCACAGTTTGTTGTGTATGAGGCTGCATAGCCACAGACCAGTCAGAGTGCCCATGCCCACCCACCCATGTACACAGCCAAAAGCGGCTGCAACAGGCACATGACCATCGCCACCAGAGCAGGCAGTAATGAAAAAATGTGAAGTGAAGCAAAAAGAAATAGCACACCAACCTTGTGCATTACCTGAGTAAATCTGTGATTTTATTATATATCTATATATATATATATACACACACATACATACACACATACATACACACATATACACACACATATATACAGTGGAGCAAAAAAAGTATTTAGTCAGCCACCAATTGTGCAAGTTCTCCCACTTAAAAAGATGAGAGAGGCCTGTAATTGGCATCATAGGTAGACCTCAACTATGAGAGACAAAATGAGAAACAAAATCCAGACAATCACATTGGCTGATTTGGAAAGAATTTATTTGCAAATTATGGTGGAAAATAAGCATTTGGTCAATATCAAAAGTTCATTTCAATACTTTGTTATATATTCTTTGTTGGCAATGACAGAGGTCAAACGTTTCCTGTATATTCTTTGTTGGCAATGACAGAGGTCAAACGTTTCCTGTAAGTCTTCACAAGGTTGGCACACACTGTTGCTGGTATGTTGGCCCATTCCTCCATGCAGATCTCCTCTAGATCAGTGATGTTTTGGGGCTGTCGCTGGGCAACATGGACTTTCAACTCCCTCCAAAGGTTTTCTATGGGGTTGAGATCTGGAGACTGGCTAGGCCACTCCAGGACCTTGAAATGCTTCTTACGAAGCCACTCCTTCGTTGCCCGGGCGGTATGTTTGGGATCATTGTCATGTAGGAAGACCCAGCCATGTTTCATCTTCAATGCCCTTGCTGATGGAAGGAGGTTTGCACTCAAAATCTCACGATACATGGTCCCATTCATTCTGTCCTGTACATGGATCAGTCATCCTGGTCCCTTTGTGGAGAAACAGCCCCAAAGCATGATGTTGCCACCCCCATGCTTCACAATAGGTATGGTGTTCTTTGGATGCAACTCAGCATTCTCTCTCCTCCAAACACGACGAGTTGTGTTTCTACCAAACCGTTCTATTTTGGTTTCATCTGACCATATGACATTCTCCCAATCCTCTTCTGGATCATCCAAATGCTCTCTAGCAAACTTCAGACGGGCCCAGACATGTACTGGCTTAAGCAGGGGGACACGTCTGGCACTGCAGGATCTGAGTCCCTGGTGGCGTAGTGTGTTACTGATGGTAACCTTTGTTACGTTGGTCCCAGCTCTCTGCAGGTCATTCACTAGGTCCCCCCATGTGGTCCTGGGATTTTTGCTCACCATTCTTGTGATCATATTGACCCCACGGGTGAGATCTTGCATGGAGCCCCAGATCGAGGGAGATTATCAGTGGTCTTGTATGTCTTCCATTTTCTAATTATTGCTCCCACAGTTGAATTGTTCACACCAAGCTGCTTGCCTATTGCAGATTCAGTCTTCCCAGCCTGGTGCAGTTCTACAATGTTGTTTCTGGTGTCCTTCGACAGCAATTTGTTCTTCACCATAGTGGAGTTTGGAGTGTGACTGTTTGAACTTGTTATCAGTATAAAAAGACACCTGTCCACAACCTCAAACAGGTGCCATTGATACAGGTAATGAGTGCAGGACAGATTAGCCTCTTAAAGAAGAAGGTACAGGTCTGTGAGAGCCAGAAATCTTGCTTGTTTGTAGGTGACCAAATACTTATTTTCCACCATAATTTGCAAATAAATTCTTTCCAAATCAGCCAATGTGATTGTCTGGATTTGTTTTCTCATTTTGTCTCTCATAGTTGAGGTCTACCTATGATGCCAATTACAGGCCTCTCTCATCTTTTTAAGTGGGAGAACTTGCACAATTGGTGGCTGACTAAATACTTTTTTGCCCCACTGTATACACACATACATACACACACACACACACACACACACACACACTCAGAATAAAGTTAAACAAGCATTGCAGATCCTTAAAAGGGAGTGTAGAGTCACATCACGAGGGTAGATTAAGTTTCGAAGGAAGACCCTTCTTCATCAGAGCTAACTACACAATAAGTGCCCCCTACCATGTATACCATGCGACTAAATGATGGCCCTCCCATCTGGACAGGGCCATCCCCAGCTAGGAGGGGCATAGGTGTCATAAAAACATGTCAGCAACACAACTACATGTCCTTTGATGTATAACCATGAATGAGACCATAAAGGATGAAAGTTAAAAATGCATATAGAAAAAGCCCAAATGTGTAGAAACATGAATATATAAAAATATACATAAGTATAGATATATAGGACGCACATCTAGCATAGACTATCATATTGTACCATTGATTACTGCCGAACAAAGGAAGCATGCATAGATGGATTTATAATGGTATTATAGGTTATAAAATTGGCAGGCATGATTGAAATAACATAGGATGCATTGATTAAAATGACACCTACATCACCGAAGCACTGAGACTCCTCAATGACTCTCAGACCTATGAAGTCTTACCCATGGATTCCACAATTTAGTATCAACAAAAACTCAAACAATTACTAGAGTCAGTAGTGTCTGAACAAATACAGAATAAAGAAGAATGTCTCTCTTTCTCTGCAGTAAACACCCTGCCACCCCCTTTTATCATATTCCGAAGATTTGTAAAAACAAGGAAAACCCCCCTGGTAGATCTATTATATCAGCCATAGGCAGCCTTACCAGTAACCTAGACTGCTACATTGAGTACTTCCTGAAAGAAGTGGTAACCAATCTACAATTGTATGTTAAAAGACTTTAATCACATACTAGAGATTCTGGCAGGATACAGGCGGG